CTCTCTCTCTCTCTCTCTCTCTCTCTCTCTCTCTCTCTCTCTCTCTCTCTGTGTCTTTGTCTGTGTGTGTGTGTGTGTGTGTGTGTGTGTGTGTGTGTGTGCGTGTGTGTGTATGTGTGTGCACGCACACGTATCTGGTACATCACTTTTGTACGAAGTTTTTTGACTGTCCTCACTCGATCTAAGCTTAACATGTGTCAAATCCAGACAATGGGACCAGAGCCGTTCTAACACAGACAGCTGTACATGCTCCCCATTTCCTTTCGACAGGCATTGTGACGTCACTCCATGACACCAATATACATGCTACCCATGCAAGTGCACGTGCTCCATCAGCCTTCAACATTTTTGGCTGATATCACACACATTATAAGAATCAGTTCGCCCAACAACACAAATGGGCCTCCCGTACATTTCTCTTAAAGCAAGTCGACATACATCCGAGGAGTAATACTGTACTATCACCCCGTGCTTTGTCTTCCCTTGAACGCAACGTACCCTTATTGTGACTGTACTACACTGGAAGACAGATGGACCTCCCCGCACCAGTCACCAAATGGGAAAAGAACAGCTGAGATTAGGCACATTTTTCCGCGTTCTATCACAGTCGGGGATTATAAGTATCGGTTTGTATGCATTCATGACCAGGGCGCATTGTCTTCAGGGTAAGACAGTAGGGCAACTGATAGTGAACAGACAGCACAAACAACTTGCAGCACGCAGATTGCATCCCCCTGCATCCACCCGATCGTTCCACTACCATTCTTTCCCGCTGCGGAACGACGTCCCCCGAAGTAGAACGCCTGGTGTAGATATAGCGAGAATGATGGTACGTTCTATTCGGGGCATGGTGGTATTCTGCCAGAATCTAATGCGAGAAGGTGTCGAGATGCAGTGAGAATGTCTAGGCGTGTTCTATTCGTGGCGGCGAGAGGGTACTCTGCCAGAATCTCACTCATTGTGATTCTGTCTTGTAAAGCTCTGCTGCGGCTGAATACTCGACGTGATTTTGCTTAGATCTGTTGTTGTGGCTACGTACTTCACATGATTTTACATATGATTGACATACCAGTCAGGAAGTGTCTAGAACATAGTAATCAGACTGCATGCCTGCAAGAATTATGGGGATTTCGGTGAAATCCGCCGAGGCAAGAGATCAAATGAAAATAGAGGATGCCTCACCGTGCCACTCACTGCTGTATTATGCCTCACTGCTGTATTATCCTCTATTTTCGAGGGAAAGTGGCGTGGTGGGCATACTACAGCATGTATCTTTCCCTTGATCGTTGGGAAGACGTGCGTGCCATGGCTTGTTGTTTTCACATTGGCGAGTTGTGCAGTGAGGGTCCAAGAGGAAGAAAGGATTCACCATCCTGAAGAGTGTAGTTGGAAGTAGGTTCCCCTCTGCAGCGTGCTCCATGTACGTTCCTCTCTGCCAAAAGTTAAGTTTCTTACGGTCTGGCTGCTGGACCCCTGATGACAAATTCCTTCTGACAAACGTGTTTGTCAGAATGGGGTTGTCAGAAGTGCAGCACTCTGACAGAAGTTACAGAACTGCCCTTGTATTAGAATGCCCTGATTTTGAGAAGAGCTTTCTGTTCGAGACAAGGGGCAGTTGTGCACACATCCACATTCTCAATCGAAACAGACTTCAGGGCATTCTCATACAAGGAGTTTCTCGACAACACTCTGAATGCGATTGCAGTCAGATTCATCCTGGTGCGATTGTAATTGCAGTCAGATGCATTTAGGGACGTGCAAGTTAGCATGCCCTCATTCCAATGTATGCTGGCCAAGGACAGATTCGAACCATCATTTGTGGATTTGCTTAACTGACAGAATCTACTTCCCAACGCTTTGAGGGAAATGACGGCTTGAAGTTTTCTTCCTCGCATTCTTACACTAGCTAGCACTTCCGTAAATGATTCCGACTGCAATTATGGCTGCTTGCCATGAATAAATCTGACCGCAATCACGTCCAGAGCTGAGTAGAAGAAGTCCTAGCGTGAGTAAGCCCTCACTTCTGCTCCGACGTTCTGTGGATGGATGACGATTTCATGCATCCTGCTGCGTCAATGATGGCTGCCATGTTCCCCCGAATAGAGTGTGTTTGGTCACTGTAGTTGTATTTGGTGCAAAATTTGGTCTGGATAGAAGAAAAATGACCGCAAGTTCTATTCGGGGGAAGATGGCTAATGGATAATAAGGATATAATGAATCCTCCGTGACGGCGAGCGTCTTCTATAATGAATAAGTACTCCACCAGTGAGGGCAACGATCTCCCCCCGAATAGAATGTACTGTCAATATAGCTTTATTCGGTCCAAGGTTTAGTCCACATACAGCAAGAATGACCATATGTTTATTTGCGTGAGATGGGTAATCTATAAGGATATAATGAGAATCCTGCACATATCACTCCACTTTTATGGCGTGCCGATTCAAATGCAGCTGGAAATCTGGATCCGGAAACTCCAATGCATAGGAAGCAAAGCAAATTTTTTGTTTTGGTTTATATGTTTTATATGTTTTATATGTTTGTATGTTTTATATGTTTGTAATAATTTGTATGTTTGCGTCCGAAAATCGACAGCCTCAATCTGTTGACTACCATCTTCAGAGAATGCCCAGTCATTAAAGCCGTATCGGGGACAAATTTCAGTCCAGATGCTGTGATAATGACCAGGCGACGGGCGGCCTCTATTTGTGAAGATGGTAGTACAGGGGAACATCTCGTTCTCGTTATTAATTTAATATTAATTTAATATTTCTTGTTTCCCGGCCATTTTTTACGGGTACATAATTTCATTGAAGGGGCAAGTGCGTTTGTGGCACAAAATAGTTTCGAAAGGGCAAAAAAAACATCTGTGGGCATATTCGTCGTGCCCGACTTCGAAAAGGCAAGCGAAACATGGGAGTGCAATAACGTCGAGGCCGAAGTCTGATATGAGCAGTTGTGGCAGTTTTAAATGGGTGGCTGTGTCGCAGGCACGGTACCGGTGTGGGTACCGGTCTGTTCCCAAGTATCGGGCCGGTGAAAAATATTTTGGCAAGGGACCCGGTACCACGGCCATTTGTGCTCCCATCTTCTCGTGTCCTGTGGGGAGGGTTGGCTGCAGCGTCACTCACCCCGGTGAGTACCCGACATGTACGTGCACACGCGCCCCGCACCAACACACACACACACACACACACACACAGAGAGAGAGAGAGAGAGAGAGAGAGAGAGAGAGAGAGATGCTGCCATGCTGCTGCGACGATAAACCAA